GTGCCTGTGCTAATGAAGCTAATAGAGTGGCCTGTAGGTATCCAGTGCTTAGCTTTTTATTAGGGTGTGGAATGAAAGTGGCCCATCCAGGTCAGGTCTTTGTTCAAACCTTGATTACAGGTGTAAAACTGTAAATTAAAAAATTAAACCAAGTTCTGCAGCTTTTCTCTCCGTTCTGTGCTATTTATATGTATCCTGGACCCTTTATTCCAATCATCTGAAGAAGTGCATTGTGTTCACAAAAGGTCATGAAACATTACTATTTTTTTTTTAATCTTTAAGATGCTGCAGAACTTTTGGGTTTTTTAAAGTTTTTTTCATCCGCTCAGTGTGAGTGCAGGGGGAGAGCAGGGACACAGCACAGAGAGCAGACAGGGAGAGAATCCCCTCAGCATAGAGTTCAGTGTAGAGTGGTTCAGAAAGTCTCTGAGGGCTTGCTGTTCAGATTCCCTATCCACCCTCCATAGGCATCAAAAACAGGGAGAGCCAAGCTGTATCTTGGGGGTGTCCACAGAGGTCAGGGGGTGAATCTTACCCCACACCACATGGGAACATGAGACATGCACAAAAAACAAGACAGAAAGAAGGCAATTTATATAAAAAGGCAACTTTATTCAGCTTACATTCAGTTTAGTCAGTATGTCAGTGTTCAGTGAATTCCTACAGTGCTAAAGGTTTATCTAAAAATTTACAATTTGCATTTTTTCCATACAGTTAACATGACAGCTGTTCAGTTAGAGCTAACACAAAAAGTCAGTAGCTTTCATTGTTATATGTTCCCTTTAGTGCATCACTCCACAAGTAAAATATAATTCTAAGAAAAAGAAGATCTTGCGGTTTGATATTGCTCCAGATATAGTAGCCTTCACAGTGATGAGCATGTTGATTACCTTTGTCACTGTAGTTGAGTCATTCATTGCTTCAGTACAGAAGGATGGCAATCTTCTGTTAGCACAATGCAGTTACTTTTAATAAACCTTTTACCTGTCCATTACCATTACAGTAGACTTCTGATAATCCAGAACCTTTGGGACCTAGGTGGTGCTGGATTATCGGATATGCCGGACTATCATGTAGCCATCCTGCAGCAAAAAAACTTCAGGACTGTGACGCCCCCACGCCGCCCTGCAGCGTTAGTCCCGAGGGCTCACTACTGTCCTAGAGTCCCGCGGTCCACAGTTTCTCCTATGCGTGCATTTATCTTCATTTTCCCACTCCCTAACAAGGCGGGAGGGGAAGGGGGGCCCAGGCCCGCCCACTCTCACGGGCCCCAGCCCAGGGCCCTAAGGGTTCTGGTTGTGAGAAGGGCTCTGAGCTAAGCCTATGGCAGGGAGTTAGGGTGCAGGAGGGGGGCTCAGGGCTAGGGCAGGGCCCTAGAAGGGGGAACATGACTGGGGCAGGGGTTTGGAGCTGGCACCAGCTGGACACTGCGTCCCTCAGGTGGTTCCTGGGTGGGGGTGCAGTGGGGTTAAGGCAGGCTCATCCCTGCCCTGGCCCTGCACCACTCTCAAAAGCAGCCAGCAAATTCCCTGCATCCCAAGCCCTGTTATGCCCCCCTCCATTCTGTGGAGATAGAATACAGGGTGGAAGAGGGGGCACCGTGACATCAGTGCCCCCTCCTCTCCCTTCCCTTCTCTGTACTGCAAGCAGGAGGCCCCTGGGAGGTGGGGGGGAGGCAGCTCCAAGGCAAAGGGCAGGAGATGTGCAGCAGTGGGAGGGAGGGGCAGCCTTTGGCCAAACCAGTCAGGATCACCTGCCATAGTCTCCAAGATCTACCAGTAGGTCCCAATCTACTGGTTTGTGACCCCTGCACTAGTCTCTCTCTAAGTGGTCTTGGTGCCACTTTATGGAGCACATGCTCCGCCCCATGATGTAAAAGAGGAGGGGAAGAAGGAGGGTGGAATTAAGGGCATGGCGGTCTGTACCATAAACACCCTGTAGATCCCCTGTAATATTCTAAGTTCTGGGCTGCCTTTGGCCTTATATGGTGGGGATCCCCAGCATTGCCTTACACCCAATTTTCTTTCATTAAGTAGTGATGAATATAATAACTGCATTTGAATTACAATAGACTTCTGATAATCCGGAACCTATGGGACCTACCTGGTACTGGATTATCAAATATGCCGGACTATCAGGAGGTACTATAAACTGGTTTTATATATATATATACTGTATATAAAGTGTTTTTAACCCTTTGGATTGTACATACTGTATACAGTATACTGTAATGTTTAAGTTTTTTAACCCTTTTTTACCCTTTTTATTGTACATACTATAATACATAAATTTAGTCATAGAATGAAAGAATAAATGTACAGTACAGTACTCACCATTATTGTTGCGAAGCCTTTGAATACAGAAAGCAGAGGATACTATATACAGTAGTGTGCAGCACTGGCTAATCACTTAAACTATTACTCACTTCAACTATTAATACAGTAACTTAAAACACTTAATACAGCACTTTATTCACTTAAACACAAAAATTATACACTTCAACACTAATACAGTCTGTAAATTATTCACTTAAACACTAAAAAAAGACTTAAACAAAACACTAAAACTTAAATCTAATTTTGTTTATTTGCCACACTGCGCAACTACTCATCATCTTATGAAACCCGTGTTTCATCATCCGGGACAGGGTGCTGGGGTGGGAACAGGGTGCCAGCAGGTGCTGGGGCAGGGAACAGTGTTGGTGGGGGCAGGAAACAGGGAGTCCCTGGCACGCGCCTCCTCCCAGGACTCCTCCTCCCTCCCCCACCGCAGGGGAGGGAAGTCCGCTTGCACCTCCTCAGGGAACTTCTACCTCCTCCCTCCCGCAGGGGAAGGATGTCCGGGCGCATGCCTCCTCTGGGGACTCCTATTCCCTCCTCTCGTGTTTCCTGAGTTGCAGATAATGGCTGTCTTGTTTTTATTATTATTTTCAAATTTTATTAATTCTAACAGCCAAGTCTTCAGAATACTAAATATACGGTGTCTGTAAAACTTGTACAACTAGCTCTCTTATGATGTTTGATTCTTGCAACTAGTCCCTGCATCATCTTCTTGCACTGCTTACACTTGACGGCTACATCTAGACTGCCATGATTTTCCGGAAATGCTTTTAACGGAAAAGTTTTCTATTAAAAGCATTGTCGGAACAGAGCGTTTAGATTGGCACGGATGCTTTTCCGCAAAAGCACTTTTTGCGGAAAAGCGTCCGTGGCCAATCTAAACACACTTTTCCGCAAAAAAAGCCCCGATCGCCATTTTCGCGATCGGGGCTTTTTTGCGCAAAACAAATCTGAGCTGTCTACACTGGCCCTTTTGCGCAAAAGTTTTGCGCAAAAGGGACTTTTGCCCAAATGGGAGCAGCATAGTATTTCCGCAGTTCCCATAATAGAAGAACTAGAGGGTACCAAATGAAATTAATGGGTAGCAGGTTTAAAACTAATAAAAGAAAGTTCTTCTTCAAATAGCGTGTAGTCAGCATGTGGAACCACTTGTCAGGGGAGGCTGTGAAGGCTAGGACTATAATAGAGTTTAAAGAGAAGCTAGATAATTTCATGGAGGTTAGGTCCATAAAAGGCTATTAGCCAGGGGATAAAATGGTGTCCTTGGCCTCTGTTTTTCAGAGGCTGGAGAGAGATGGCAGGAGACAAATCGCTTGATCATTGTCTTTGGTCCACCCTCTCTGGGGCACCTGGTGTTGGCCACTATCAGCAGACAGGATACTGGGCTAGAAGGACCTTTGGTCTGACCCAGTACGGCCGTTCTTATGTTCTTAGTCTATTTAGTATAGGTTAGAAGCTTTACAACAGCACACAGCACCAAACATCAGAAGAGACTTACTACAACATCTGGGCAAATAACTTTTGGCAATTTCCAAGAACCATGGAAGAGTTTTGCTTAGATTTTGAGCATTTTTAGTCATTTTTGAATTTTTACATTATATTATAGGAAGTTGTGTATCGAAAAAATTGTTTTGAACTGAAAAAAATTGAAGTGTTTCATTTACAAAATGTCTAACTAAAATGTTTCAACATTTTTGAAAAGGGAAGTTGAAGAGAATTAATTTGGCAAAACTAACATGAACTTGTAAATCATTTTGGCACCACTCATCTGCATTTGTTTTCTGGAAAAAAATGTTTCAGTCAAAAATTTTTATTCCATCATTACTGACTACCTACATTGCCCGCCTCACATCTCAGAGTTACTGCTATAGAAGACTATTTAAAACAGATTGAATCTATAGCCAGTTGCATCAATTCTAAAGAAGTATATCAGAAGGCATATGACCATACCATACCTGTACTTGTTTGATAGCCATACATTCAATTC